TTTGACCTGGATGGAAAACTTTGCTGCTGTCACCGTCTCTGCTGTTGCGTCCAGCTTCCCCACCTTCACCTTCCCCTGCAGCTGTGCTGCAGCAGCAGCCCAAATGGGGGCGAGGGCTTTGCAGTGGCCGCACCAGGGGGCGTAGAACTCCACGAACCTGCAAACCCTAAACCCTAAACCCTAAACCCTAAACCCCAAACCCTCGGCCCCCGCCCTCCGCACTCGCCGGCCGCGACTGCGCCCGCAGAGGGGGACGGCCAAAGCCGGACCACACGAAGCAGCAGCAACGCACCCCAACGCAACCCTAAACCCTAAACCCTAAACCCTAAACCCTAAACCCTAAACCCTAAACCCTAAACCCTAAACCCTCGGCCGCACCATACGTTCTCTTCATCTTGCATCACCATCCTCTCGAAGTTCGAGTCCTTCAGCTCAATCACGTCTGACTGGCCGTTGCTCTTGGGCTTGCTGCTGCTGCTGCTGCTTTTGCTGCTGCTGCTGCTGCTGCTGCTGCTGCTCTTGCCGCTGCCAGAGTCCATCTTCCCTGAGCACGACGAACCTAAACCCTAAACCCTAAACCCTCGCAGCGCGAGAGGCACCCTTCGAGGGTTTCCCGTGAACTCAGGGGTGTTTCAAGGGTTTAGGGTTTAGGGTTTATTCGCGCTGCGGTTTCCCGCCAGCAGCAGGAGCTAGGGTTTAGGGTTTAGGGTTTAGAACCGCCTGGGGCTCGAGGTCTCGGCTGCACCGCTGCAGCTACAGCGAGGGTTTAACGCGCCCCAAGCCCGCGCCTAGGGTTTAGGGTTTAGGGTTTAGGGTTTACCAGCCAGCCGGGCCCTCGCGAGCTTTCCAATATGAGTGACAGCAAATTCCAAAACTGAATTTGCGTCTCTGCTGCCTTCATATTTGAAACTCTTGGGTTTGTTGCCCCCTGCGCGCAAACCCTAAACCCTAAACCCCAAACCCTAAACCCTAAACCCGGGCCCTGCATCCCAGGGGCGGCCTGGAGCGCGCGTGAAGCGCGCCGCCGGCGGCGCCGTCGCCGGCGGTGCTAAACCCTAAACCCTAAACCCCGCGTCCAAGCCTAGGGCTTAGGGTTTAGGGTTTAGGGTTTAGGGTTTACCTCTTCCTGCAATGACCATGACGGTGGGAAACCCTGAAACTTCAAACTGCTGCATCAGCTGCTCGTCATTAACAGCAACAACAGGCATAAACCCTCGAAGAGCGTTTGCGACTTGTTCGTAGACAGGGCCAAACCGCTGGCAGTGGCCGCACCTGCGCAAACCCTAAACCCTAAACCCTAAACCCTAAACCCTAAACCCGAGGCCCTGAGCGCAAAGGCTGCTGCTCAGACTGGAGGCAGGGGCAGCTGCGGCCGCAAGCAGCAGCGGCTCGAGACCCGGCGGCCGCAGCGCCGGCGGGGGTTTAGGGTTTGGCAACTAGGGTTTAGGGTTTAGGGTTTAGGGTTTGGGAGGCACCAATCCGCGTAAAACTCGACGAGGTGCAGCCCGTGAGAGTCCAGCACTTGGGATTTAAATTCTGCTGCATTTAAAACCCTAACTGGGCTGCTGCTGCTGTAGATTGCTGCTAGGGTTGGGGTGTACAGACACCCCAGCGCAGCAGCAGCAGCAGCAAGCAGCAGCGCCAGCCTGCTGCTGCTGCTGCAGGGGAGCCACTGCTGCCGAAAACCAGCCATTGCTTCAGAAATGCTCGGAGACGGGACGACACTGCTGCTGCTGCTGCTGCTGCTGCTGCGGTGTCTACTGCTGCTGCTGCCGCTGCTGCTGCTGCTAGGTCTTGCTGCACATTCAAAAAACAGAATTTCTGCTGCTCAGCTGCCGCCAGAAAGGCATGCACCGTCGCAGCCGCAGCAGCAGCAGCAGCTGCTGCTGCTGATGCTGCGGCTGCTGCTGCTGTGGCTGCTGCTGCTGCTGCTGCTGCCGTCTGCGGCGACACAGTTGCTGCTGCTGCCCCACTTAAGACTGAGAAGACCAGGAGCTAATAAATAATTTACTTCATTAAAAACAATTCGAATTAACTTAACTGCAGTAAAACCCTAAACCCTAAACCCTAAACCCTAAACCCTAACCGAGGTGCCACGGGCCGTCTCTCATGCCACATCTTCGTGGCAGCGAGGGTTTAGCTGTCTTGGCACCCTCAGTATAGTAAACCCTAAACCCTCAACCCTCAACCCTTAACCATAAACCATAAACCCTAAACGCTAAACCCTAAACCCTAGAGCTTACGCCCCAACTCTGGACTGCAAACCCTAATGCCTAAACCGTGGCGACAATTCCTCGCTGCAGAGCAGCCAGTCCATGTCTAGGGTTTAGGGTTTAGGGTTTGAGGTTTAGAGGAAATAATTAAGGCTAGAAAGCCAAACCCTAAAAGGTGCTTTGTGTACAGATGGAAGGAGGGCAGCCAAACCTTAGGGTTTAGGGTTTAGGGTTTAGGGTTTAGGGTTTAGAATTGACGACCGGAGATGTTTCTTCTTCAAAATGAAGCAGCAGGAGCAGTCTGCTCTAGGGTTTAGGGTTTAGGGTTTAGGGCTTAGGGTTTGCCGTTGCTGCTGCCCAAAGCTATGCTGCGTCTGGCGCAGCAGCAAAGAGGTGCTGCCAGGGCCGAAGGCAGCAGCAGCAGTAGCAGCAGCAGCAGCAGCAGCAGCAAAAGCAACAAAAGCAGTTATATTTGCCTCGTCAGCTGCAGCAGCAGCAAGCACGACAGCAGCAGCAGTTGCCGCAGCAATGGCACTGGACAACCCTGCAGCAGCAGCAGCAGCAGAACAGAATTTGTTGCTGCTGCTGCACCTTTTTTCGCTGCTGCTGCAGCTTTTTCTGAACCTGCAGCAGCAGCTATTTCTTCTGTTGCACTTTCTGCTGCTGCTGCAGCTACTTCAGTAGATATGGCTACTTTTGCTGCTGCCGCTGCAGCTATTTCTGCTGCTGCTGCTGCTGGTAATTTGCCTCTTGCTTCTACCGCTGCTGTCGCTGCTGCAGCCAGTGTTGCGGCTGCAGCCGCTATCGCTGCTGCTGCTGTTGCCGCTACAGCTTTGCTGCTGTTGCTGCTGCAGCTGTTGCTGCTGCTGCTGTTGCTGCTGCCGCTGCTGTATTAGTGTCCCAGCCAAGTGCAGTGGCAGCCCCCGAAAGGCTGTCGGGAAGAAGCCCTAGGGTTTAGGGTTTAGGGATTAGGGTTTAGGGTTTGAATGCAATACTGGGAACTTGAAGAGGCTGAAGCTGATAACTGCCGGTAGCGCTTGAGGGTTTAGGGTTTAGGGTTTGCTGCAGCTTTAGATATGGAAATGCACCTATAGCCTAAACCCTAAACCCTTGGCTACTTTACATTCTTCAAACCCTAAACCCTAAACCTTCAGCCTTACTACCCTACATCTAGCCCCAGCATAGCTCAAGCGCTTTGCTTCGTAAAACCCTAAACCCTAAACCCTAAACACTTAAAGCAGTTTGCTGCATAGAGGCGCATGCCTCCTACACACATCTCTGCTGCTGCTGCTGCTGCCTCCTTCAGCTCTAAACCCTAAACCCTAGACCCTCAACTTTAAAGTGACTGCCTCCATGAGCTTTCATGCGCTCCTGATTCTGCTGCCGCTGCTGCTGCTACTGTTGCTGCTGCTGCTGTTGCTGCTTCCGTTGCTGCTTCTGCTGTTGCTGCTGCTGCTGCTTTCTGTCACACTTCTTGCTGCTCCCACGCGTGCTGTTTCAACTCTGCTTATACATGCTGCTCCAGCAGCAGCAGTTGCAACCGTTGCTGCAGCAGCAACAGCGGGTGCTGCTGCTGCAGCAGCACCTGCTACTGCTGGTGCAGCAGCAAAAGCTGGTGCTGCAACTGTTGCTGCAGCAGCAAAAGCTGGTGCTGCAACTGTTGCTGCAGCAACAGCTGCTGCTGCTACGGTTCCCGCCCGCGCGCTTTTGTGCTGCTGCGCTCGTCAGCGATACAGCGATCCTAAACCCCAAACCCAAAACCCTAAACCCTAAACCCTAAACCCTACATCGTCACTAAACCCTTAACAGCCTCTCACGGCTTTCAAGTCATTCGCGAACTGCGGCGAAGCCGCTCAAACGCAGAGCAGCCCGAGCCTATGGCTAGCTAGCTAGCTAGCTAGCTAGCCAGCTAGATTCCAACTAGCTATCCAGCCAGCTAGTAGCTAGCTAGCTAGCTAGCTAGCTAGCTGGTTGGCTAGCTGGCCAGCTAGCTAGCTGGCTAGCTAGCTGGTTCGCCGGCTAGCTAGTTTGCTGGCTAGCTAGCTAGCTAGCTAGGAACTAGCTAGTTCGCTGGCCTGCTAGCCGAACAGATAGCAAGCAGCTAGCTAGCTTGTAGTAGCTAGCTAGCTAGTAGTAGCTACCTAGCTAGTAGTAACTAGCTAGCTAGTAGCTAGCTAGCCAGTGGCTAGCTAGCCACTGCGGCTGTAGCTGCTGTGGGGCTGGAAGGCTCTCCAAACATTAAGGCAAAGACAAAAGGAAACAAACCGCTGCTGCCGCCGACAAGCCTTCCTACCCTTTCTGCTGCTGCTGCTGCTGCTGCTGCAGCTGCTGCTGCAGCTGCTGCTGCAGCAACAGCAGCAATGCGCGCAGCCTCTTTACAGCGCCTTCGCCTCTCGTTACATCTTCTCCCTATTCTCTCTCATGCCTCTAAGAAGAGGTGAACAAAACTCGTTTAAAACTCTCCTGCTGCTGCTGCTGCTGTTGCTGCTGTTGCTGCTGCTGCTGCTTCCTCTGTTGCAGTCGGCCGCCCTTGATCGTAGAAGCAGATCCCCCACTACTAGCTCAGCTAGCTAGTGGCTAGCTAGCAGCCACCTAGCTAGCTAGCCAGCTAGCTAGCTAGCTAGTAGCTAGCTGCCCTCCGCTGCTTCCCCCATGCAGCAGCAGCTGCAGTTCCGTGTGCTGCCTGCTGCTGAGGCTGCTGCTGCTGCTACGTCTCGCCCAGCTAGCTAGCTGGCTAGCTAGCTGGCTAGCTGCTGCAGCTAGCTCGAAAATATGCTGGAGACTCGGTGCACGGTCAGTGCTGCCGGTCGCTGCTGCTGACTGGCTTCCTGCTGCTGCTGCTGCTGCTATGTTTGCTGCTGCTGCTGGATTCACGAGGCTTCTTTGAGCTGCTGCTCTTTTCTTCTGACGCAGCACGCTTCTTGCTGCTGCTGTCGCCCGATTTGCTGCTGCTGCTGCTGCTGCTGCTGCCCGATTTGCTGCTGCTGCTGCTGCTGCTGCTGCTCGGCTTGCTGCTGCTGCTCCCGCTGCTGGGTTTGCTGCTGCTGCTGCTGCTGCTGCCTGATTTGCTGCTGCTGCTGCTACTGCTACTTGGCTTGCTGCTGCTGCTCCCGCTGCTGCTTGGTTTGCTGCTGCTACTGCCGCTCGATTTGCTGCTGTGGCTGCTGCTGCTTGGCTTGCTGCTGCTGCTGCTGCTGTCACTGCTCCGTTTGCCACTACCACTCGCGCTGCTGCTACTCGGTTTGCTGCTGTTGCTGCTGCTGCTGCTACTCGGTTTGCTGCTGCTGCTGCTGCTGCTGCTTGATTTGCTGCTGCTGCTGCTGCTGCTTGATTTGTTGCTGCTGCTGCTGCTTGGCTTGCTGCTGCTGCTGCTGCCGCTACTGCTGGGTTTGCTGCTGCTGCTGCTGCTGCTGGGTTTGCTGCTGTTGCTGCTGCCACCGGTAGGTTTGCTGCTTTTGCTGCTTTCCTTGTTCTCTTCGCTGCGGCTTGGTTTGCTGCTGCTGCTGCTGCCGCCGCTGCTTTGCTTGCTGCTGCCACTGTTGCCGCTGTTGCTTGGCTTGCTGCCGCTGCCGTTGCTGCTGCTGCTGCTTGGCTTGCTATTGCTGTTGCTGCTGCTGCTGCTGGCAAGCGGCTTCTCAGCGGCATTCTGGGTGTTTTTTGCAGCAGTCGCTTCTGCTGCGGCGAGGAGTTTGCTGCTGGCGTTGCTGCTGCTGCTGTTGCTGCTGTTGCTGCTGCTGCTGTTGATCGGTGCCTCCACCTTGTCTGCGGGTTGGTTGGCGGGGCGTTTGCTGCTGCTTCTGCTGCTGCTTCTGCTGGTGCTCCTGCTGGTGCTCCTGCTGCTGCTTCTGCTGCTTCTGCTGGTGCTTCTGCTCCTGCTGCTTCTGCTGCTGCTCCTGCTGCTGCTCCTGCTGCTGCTCCTGCTGCTGCTGGCGCTGCTGCGGCTGCTTCCGCTGCCGCTGTCGCTGCTCCTGCTGCTGCTCCTGCTGCTGGTGCTGCGGCTGGGGCTCCTGCTGCGGCTCCTGCTGCTGCTGCGGCTGCGGGCCTTGGGCCGCCTGCGAGCAACAGCAGCAGCAATTGCTGCTGCAGCAGGACATGCTTCTCTAGTAATGCTGGGGCTTCTTCTGTCAGTGCCTCTTTCAGTTTGCTGCTGCTGCTGCTGCCGCTGCTTGAGGAGGAAGTCGGGGATGGGCTGCTGCTGCTTCTGCTTCAGCAGCTGCTGCCGCAGCTGCTGCTGCAGCTTCTGCTGCTCCTCCTTGTCCGTCTCCTTTTGCTGCTGCTGCTGCTTCTGCTGCTGATGCAGCCCAAACAAATCTTGCTGCGTCTTCTGTGCTGCAGCAAAGACACTTCCTATATCGAAGTTGTCTCCCTCTTGCGCCTGCAGCTGCTTGAAAACCTGCTCCTGCTCCTGCATGCTGCGGACAAACCCTAAACCCTAAACCCTAAACCCTAAACCCTAAACCCTAAACCCCGCGCAGCAACA